TACATGAGAATAGAATGATGATAGCAGATTTTGGTCTTTCTAAATGTTTAGATGAAAGCACAATGACAACTAGTTCGATTATTAAAGGAATGCCGGGATATATTGATCCACAGTGCGTTCTTACGTATGGATTTAAGAGAAACAAAAAATCGGACATTTTCAGCTATGGAATCATTTTATGGGAAGTATCGAGTTGTAAACCTCCATGTCCACCGCTCAACCCGATTGAAGGTACTCCCAGAAATTTTGTTGAATTGTATAAAGATGCCAAAGTATAACTCCAGACGAACGACCGAATATAGAAGAAATAGTTTCTATTTTAACAGACTCTTGCTTATTAAAAGTTTACGGCGATAATAGCGAAAAATCATTAAGTCAAGATCATTATATTACCAATTTTTATTCAAAAGATTCAGTGTCAATTATAGACGAAAGCTACGGGGCATTAGACACTAGACAAGAAAATATACATGTTGACAAAAGTATATATTCAGAGACTAATCTTCAAAATTTGCGGAGAGAAGCCAAAGAATTGTTCGGAATAGGAAATTTTATTAAGTCATTAGAGCTTTGGAAGCAAATCCTCAATAATCCTTTGCATACGTCGGAAGACCTTGAAAATGGAACAAAATGGGATTTATCATATTGTTCAATAGGAAAAGAGCTAGTTGAGACATTAATCAAGAATACCATCCTTACAGAATTAAATTTGCGCAATAGTAAAATGAGTAAATCTACTGTAAAAGTACTGACCGAGACACTAAGCGATAATACCACCCTAAAGAATTTGAATTTGCAAAGTAATAATTTAGGAGAATCAGTAGGAAAAGCACTGGCCGAGGCTCTATGCAAGAATACCATCCTGACGAATTTGAATTTGAAAAGTAATGATTTAGGAAATTCGGCAGGAAAAGCACTGGCCGAGGCTCTATGCAAGAATACTACCCTGACGAATTTGAATTTGTATAATAACAATATAGGAGATTCGGCAGGAAAAGTACTGGCTGAGGCTCTATGCAAGAATACCAGCCTGACTGAGTTAAATATGTGTTGGAATAGAATAGGAGAATCGGCAGGAAAAGCACTGGCTGAGGCTCTATGCAATAATACCACCCTGACGAATTTGAATTTGCAAAGTAATTATTTAGGAGATTCGGCAGGAAAAGCACTGGCTGAGGCTCTATGCAAGAATACCACCCTGACTGTATTATATATAGGTTGTAATTCAATAGGAGCTTCGGCAGGGAAAGCTCTGGCTGAGGCTTTATGCAAGAATACCCCCCTGACTGTATTAGATATAGGTCATAATTCAATAGGAGATTCGGCAGGAAAAGTACTGGCTGAGGCTCTATGCAAGAATACCACCCTGACGAATTTGAATTTGCAAAGTAATTATTTAGGAGATTCGGCAGGAAAGGCACTGGCTGAGGCTTTATGCAAGAATACCACCCTGACTGTAATATATATAGGTTATAATTCAATAGGAGATTCGGCAGGAAAAGCACTGGCTGAGGCTCTATGCAAGAATATCACCCTGACGAATTTGAATTTGCAAAGTAATTATTTAGGAGAATCGGCAGGAAAAGCACTGGCTGAGGCTCTATGCAAGAATACCACCCTGACGAATTTGAATTTGCAAGGTAATGATTTAGGAGATTCGGCAAGGGAAGCATTGGCTAAAGCTAAGAAGACTCGACAAAGCTATATTGAGCTTAATTATTGATAAATCAATAAATAAGATAGCTTATAATAATGAAATTCTCCTTATTTGATTTATAATTTTGGGAGACATAAAAATTACGAAAAATTGTTATTTTAATTATTATTTTACAACATTTTGTATCTTAAAAGTATTTTTATGGGTAGCTGAGGATAGAGTTGATATAAAGCTTATTGTTTTTACAGTTGATTTCTTAAAGCTTAAATACAAAAATTGCAAGTGAATGTTCTATATGTTCGGATGGATATCAAAGTTACTACGTTTTTATTGATATTCAGATTTTAAGTGGTATTCATAGGCATAGTTGTTAGGCACAGATTTCTTAAGGGAATAGACTGATCACAAAGAAATTAATAATGGTAATACACAAGAAAATCAAGAAAATTAAACTATATCTTAATATCTTTGACGTAAAGTTCATGAGAAAATTCAAATAGCACATGCAAATAGTTTAGTAAGTCGCATGTTATTTGTTATACCAAATTTGGAATATGCTCGTCATAATGAAGTAAGACTAAATATTCTTATAAAGAAAGGGAAACTAACGATTCAATTCAGCATATATTACATTTATTACAATGCCTAAATGGAGATTCTGTCGATAATGGTAGCAGAGTCATCGTAATGGTTTATTTAATTAAACCACAGGTGAGTGGTTCCAAGTTTTTCTATTTGACCAAGGATTTCCTTTATTCACTTAAATTTATTTAAATTGATTGCTAGTGACAAACATTTATGAGTGAAATGAATATAGTTTGCTACTTCGGAGCAGAAATTGTTGGTGCTTCATCCAAGATTTTTGTTGCTACTTTATTCTTTTGAAAAATAGTATAATTTCTCTTTTGCAGAACTTCTGATATACACATGTTACTTGACCAGTTACCCAAACCTAAAATCAGACTTTAATCTCTAAAATTTTAAGCAGATTAAATAAGATCATGACAAAATTTATAGTAAAGATACGCTGACTCAAAAAACTGTCTCAATGTTTATAATTTTATAATTTATAGTTTATAACTTAAACAACTGATTAAATATATATATATATATCTATTAAAACATTTCGATTATATTTTTTGAATTATATTATATTTAATATTATTAATTAACAACATTATTAAAAATTAACCAATTAAATTATTATGTTTATGGGTACTATTTTTTTGTTAAATTTAATTTATAAATTTAATAATCTGTATATCCTCCCTTTGCAAAAGATCCAGCTGCAATTCTTTGACATACTATTAATAAGTTCTATACATTTCTTTATAGAAATTTCATTTCATTCTTGTTCAATTAATTTCCAAAAATTATTTATACCATTAGATACATTTGTATAATCTAAAAGCTTTCTTTTAAAATAACTCCATAGATATTTCATTGGGTTCAAATCTGGAAATTGTAAAGATTAATATAAAACTTTAATTTCATAATATTTAATCTAACTTTTTTTATTGAATGCTTTGCATTATTATTATACTGAAAGATAATATTTTTATGATTTAATCTATATCATTCTATTGTACCTAAAAGATATTTATCTAAAATATTGTATACAATTTAGCATCTATAGTAATTACCCTATTCCAACAATTTTTTTGCTTTTACTGTACCACATGTAATATAATCAGAAGCCTCCAAAACATTTTAAAAAATTCCAGAATACTGTGAAACTTCCTGGAACCTTGTAAAACATTCCAGAAAATTATAAAACTTTCTGAAATATTATTAATTCTTTATTATTAATCATCATATTTATTATATTTATACTTATTTGAAAAACAATAAATTATTATTAAACATATATAATATTTTTTTAAATAAAAGATGTTACAATGTACAGTATTTTTATTAATTATTTAATTGTCACTATATATCTTATAGTTTTCATTTTGTAGACTTAACCTATATTCAACATTTAACCAACTTAACTATATTAACTAATATCAAGTAGATATGTCAGTATACTGGATAGAATTATCAGAGGATAAAGGTTTTGTTTACAGTTTAAACCATATAACCTAAGTAAATTCAATTATGTTAAGATTCAATCTTAAATCTTAATTTAAGTTCTAATTTTTTCTTACTATATATTAGTTCTAAACAAACCCTTCTATTACATCTCACCTTCAACTCATATATCATAACAGGAAGAATTATAACAAAAATATATATTTTCTAGTAAATACTTTAAAAGTGCTATTCTTTAGTTGGTTAATTGCTACCAAATCTAATAGTCATAATGATCAAGTGAACATAACTTCTTAATCTTCTAATAGATATTTTTAAAGGCTCTTAGTTGACTAAGTTGCCAAATTCAAGAACATATTTATTATATTGTATTTTTTTTTATTTTATATTTATAATATATATTTCTATTTTATATATTGTGAGGGTGTAACGGCGAGTCAGTCGCTAAGTTCGACAAGATTTCGTGTAACCATGGATAAGGTTGGTAATATTTAAGGTGAAGGAGGTGTGTTTAGATTTGATCGAGTAATTTATTGTTTTTAACGGGTCTTGTCTCCTTTATTAAAGCTTATCTCTTTCTTTTTATACATTTCTCTTT